AATGGAATTTGAACAACTCGTGAGCTGCATGATCAGGTCTGCAACTTTCCCCAAGTATTGCAAATGCTGGATAGATCTGTGCTCTCCTGTCCTGACCTCTGTGCTCTATGACCTTTTACGAATTACCTCAGACCATTTGCATTAGGTCGGTTTCTGTTTTGAAATCAATTCTCAGTTCTCTTATAGCTGGATTAAAAAGCTATGAAAATTGATTCTCACTAGCAGATTAAAGAGATGATTAGAATCAATAGGAAATCCAAAATTTATAGTTCTGCGCTTCTCCAAGATGACTATGCCTAACCATGGGTTTTCCTCAAAGAGAAAGAGGGCATGACCTGAGAAAGGATCTGGGCTTGGGAAGAAGCTCAGAATCTCTTCCAGTTCTGGTTCCGCTCTTAACTCATGGTAGGACCTTGGTCAAATGGCTTTGCTTCTGTGGTCTTTCATTTCCTCCCAGTTCTTTATAAAGTTCTGGTGAACTCAGAAGAGAGATTTTCAAAACAGTGCACCCATGCAGGGCATTATTAGAAATCACCAGGTCTAATAGAGAAGCCGGCCTTGGGGCTAGTGGCAATTTTATCTTGAGGAAAAGTTGTGCTGACCACGATTTCTTGGGCGTGCAAGTCGGGGTGGTCCTTGGGTTGAGACCTGAGTTATGGTTTGTCTGGCTCATGTTAGGCTGAGACATCCCCCTTAGGTTCTTACCAGCCTCTGCCAATCTTCCTCTCATGTTTCCTGCCCTCATCCTCCCACCATTTTGGTATTTTCCTTCTTGCTCTTACTACAGAAATAATTGATCACTTTAGGAATATTTAGAAAAGGTATAAAATATTAAAGAAGCAGAGGCAAAGACAACATCCTATCCCCTTGAGGCAACCTCTATTCAAACTTTGACCTATTTCCCTTCTTGTGTTGTTGTTGTTACTCTTTTTAACTTTGCATTTTAAAAGCATGTTCGAGTGCTTATTGCTTATGAAATTTTGGTACCCTGCCACCCTTGCTTCTGGCTGCAGTGTGGAATGGTCTAGATGATCTTGGGGATGGATCTCCAGGCTTCCTTTAATCCCAGGTCTGCTCACCCTTGTCTAGAATAATTTCCCCAATATAGCTTCTCTTCCTTACATTAACTTCTTCTCTCTTCACCAGCAGCCGGCTCTCTGTGCGTGAATCAGGACGTGTATGATAACGAGTGCTTTGCTCTGTGGCCCATTGACCGGGCTCCGTCACTGGCTATGGAACTGGGTTCCACAATCCAGTCCTTAGTGCCTGAAATTCAGATTCACATGACCAGAAAGAACAAACAACTCATGTCTTGGACTTTAAGGATCACCTATGAATAGCTTAGGCTTCAAATAGTTAATAGCAATAATGGAGGAGGTGTAGTAGTGTAAAGCTACGTGTGCTGGCCAAATGTGCCTGTCTGCCACACGGTACGAGAGACAGGTGAGATGGTCTCAGCTGTCCTTCTTGATCTTCTCCCAGGTGGAGTTTTCAGAAATGGAGCCTGGGAGAATCACCTCACTTGGCCTTGTTGCTATCCACGGTAGAAGTCTTTGTTTTTCAGTTGCTGAAAGGGTTTTGGGTGGGGTTGGCAGCAATGTGACCCACGAGGTACCCACCCGAATCTTTCATCGGGGCCCAGCAGAGATCCCCTATCAAATGGCTATTGCAAAAAAAAAAAAAAAATGCAAATGTTGACCTCTCTCCTCCTCCCTTGAGCTTATCCTGAGTGGAATCGGAATTCTCTTCTCCCCATCACTCAAGCCTGTGACTTTGTGCCAGGTCCTCTTTTTCTGTACACTGAAACCATTATCCTAACGGGCAATCCCCATTTTTTTTTTTTCTGCATTAGTGATTTCAATGAAGCTGATAGCATCCTCCACGGAGTAGGACTCATTGTCCCGGGACTTTTGGAACCCATATTAAATAACTTCGAGGTGGCCTTTCAGAGGTAACTTACACATGACAAGTGAGAGAGGCACAAGAAAGTGGCTTTAGGAAAAAGAACAAAGTCAAGTCAGTGAACGCTGAAGCTGATTTTGGCTCGGGTTTCAGCTAATCCAGTACACAGACAAGGCTGCGGTGCTCCCCAGCTCTGCCTGTGATCACCTGCCCACTAGTTCAACGGAGGGAGAGAGAGAGGGATTTTCAGACTTCAGAAAAGAGATTCTAGGGGAGACCTGGTTCGTTTTACAACCTTTCTGTCGCCAAGAGCCGGTCACTCCCTGGCTCAACATTTTCATTGGCTCCTTAGGATTTCCAGGATAAAATCGAATTTCTCGATACCAGTATTTGGGTGCTCCAATGGTCTTCTTTAACTTATGCCTCCAGTTTTATATTCTTCATCGCCACCCTTTTGCTGGATTAATCACAGTCTTTCCATCATGTTCTGTGGATTGGTTCCTTCCAAATGTGCCCAAGTGTTTCCACTCTGCCTACAATACCTCTCCTTCACCTCTGTCTTTTCAGGTTCATTTTTCACCACTTACCTAATCTCTAAATATAAGACAGCACTTCTATAAGTCCGAGGTTGGGAACTGGCAGGCCACAAGTGGACTCAACCTGTTTCAGAGTTTTATGAATTTGAGACAACATCTAAAAATTAGGAGATTTCCCATAAAAACTTAACTGTATGTTGAGCTGGACATTTGGAAGCCCTAGCAATGCTGCGCCCACACTCCTGCACTGTGCTGGGGGTGGTTGCTCCTGCCCCTGTGGGCAGCTCAGTGTCCAGCCTCTGAACCACTCCCTGAGAATGTTTCTGCTTCTTCCATTCACACTTCCTGCCTAGACCCCGTGGGCTTTTGTGCTTCCAACTAGTGCTTTAAATAAAATAATAATACTTCACAAATAATAAATGAATAATTAAAATACGCACGCGCATAAAGTCTTCTAAATAGACAAATCAAAATGCTGCCCAGAGAGAGTGGGGCTATCTGGGCTGTGATCTTGTGAAAATGGAAATGGGTGGGGTGCCACAGCACCTACCTGGGGTAGACAGTGAAGGATGAGATGGGGTTGGGGAGACAGAGAAGTCAGAGGCCAGGCCCAGATTTTCATGCTGAAATTAGCAGTACGGAGCTGCCATTCACTGATGAAGGGAAAAGCAGGAGAATCGGCTTGGAAGGGAGTCCACTGCTCGGTCATGAGCCTGCTAGATATGATGTTCCCATTAGATGTCTCTTATGAGTTGAATTGTGTTCTGCCAAAAGATGCTGAAGAGCTAAACCCTCATTTTGAGGTTCTCCTGTCTTCGCCACCCTTCCCCTCGTCTTATGACCATTTGAACCCAAAGCTCTGGTTCTTGGTCTCAGAGGCTTTGAGGCTGAACACTGAGTCTCACCCTCGGGCTGGAGGCACACCAGACTTTGACTTGCAGAATGTAACCAGTTAATGGTTGTGACAACCTTCAAGAAGCCTTGGGACACATACTTTTGGCAGTTGTCCTAGGTGACCTTTTCTGGTGATTTTGTTTATAAGAAACTGTGTTGCATGGAGGTGTGGAGAGAGAGGAAGGAACCAAGGAGTGCTGAGTCTTAAAAGTTGCCAACCAACAAGAGGGTTATTTATCAGAACCACGTGGGGAGCTTCAGAGGGGATGGTGAGGGAGGAGCCCTACGTAATCCTGGGGGGCACTCTCTGCCTCTCCCCAACATAGTGTGGGTGGTGAGATTGGAGGGCTGCCCCAGACCCTGGCTTGTCTGTCTCTGTGTCGCTCTGTTTCCCCCTGTTGGAATTCAAAATTTCTATCCCCTTCCACCCACAGCCAGTAGGAGAAATACCCTGGTGCCTTCCTCTTCTCCTGCTGCCCTCCAGTTTCCAGTGTTTTCCAAGGCTGAAGGTCAGTGGGAGTGTCAAGGACAGCCTCTTGAAAAGGTAAAATGTCACACAAAGTCAACATGCCACTGAAGGGCGGTGTGAATGTGTGTTTGGGGGAGGGGGCAGGTAATGCAAGAGCTGGGGTCTCGGGACGGGGTGGGCAGCCAGATCAAAGAAGCCCAAATCCCTAAAGAGCTCATGTTGTCCTTCTAACTATCATTCAAAATGTAAATACTAAACACGCAGTGGCAAAACAGATATCAGGAATCCAAAGCAGTCCTGAGTTTCTATTGCTGTTTGGTAATACAAAATAACAACTCTTAAACAAAGCAAAACAAAAAAAAACTCTCTCTTGGAGATGGGATGGGGGCTGGGGTTGCTCCTTTGCCTCCTCGCAGTTGGTGAGGGAAAATCATCCCTGCCATGTAGGAGCCACCTGGCTTTCCTGGTCACCACATCCACGTCTGTTGAGGACCAAGTCACTTTCTCTCTGAGTCTCAGGTGTCTCATTTGCCAATGAAATTTGGAATGAAGGTTCTTTAAAGATACCTCCATCTCTTAGAGTTGACATTTCATTACTTCACAAGTAGAACTGGTTCTTCAACTTGTTTCGAAAGGTCTATCTATCCAGGAGTCTGTGCTATTTCTCACTGAAGAATCTATCACATACACACCCCCAAAGCGGTAGTATTTTGTATGAGAATCACTTGGGCTGTCTGCAAGCCTATCTAATCTGCACATGTTGGGGACATGAAGACTAGGAAGTGGAGCATGGGGACCCATCAGTAATACACTCGGCTGTTTTTTTTCCACCCCCTGCAAATGGATACAGTGTTAGGGGGAAAATGTGTGAGAACATATGGAACATTCCATTCTAATGTCATCTGGCTCCTGTCCCACCACATCAGAGCAATTCTGTCACAGTGAGAGCTTTATTCCCAGGGGCTTTGTGTGGCTTTGTTCTGTCTTCTAAAAACTCCCCCTTTCAATCACCAGAGGTGGTGGTCAGCACAGGCTTGGCTCGCTCCTTCCTCTCCCTTCAGCCAACCCCTCTCTTCTCTTTCTCAAGGCCCAAACAGAGAAAGGTCTACAGAGGCTTCAAACAGAAAAAGCTCTTTTCAGGGATGGGTGGGAGGGGAGGGGAGGCCCATGGTAAAGTAGCTATTTTCCAGCTTCTGAAAGTCTCCTGTGTTGGGGAAAAAAAATAATGTGAGAAACTGGAAGAAAGACAAATGGGATTTTTATCAGATTGGTACAGGCAGGGGAAGGGGGTGGTGTAGACAGAGGTGATGGACAGAGCCGAGCATTTCCTCTTGGCTGGTCTTAGGAGCTCCTGTACTCTGACTGCGACTAGTTTTTCCAGGTAGGTTGGGAGGATTAAAAGAAGCCGGGAGTTAGTGAGTTGATTCAATTCATGGGGAAGCTCGTTGGATGCCAAGAGTGAAAACTTTTCACTTCTACATGACACCAGGGTCAGGCACCCTCTGCACGTGCCCCTGCGACTCTGGAGGAGTGTGGTGGCCCTCTTGGGGGGGTCAATTCTGAAGTCTTAAAAACCCCCAAGGAGAATGCTTTCTGTTTCTTATTGGTTAGAAATAAAATCAAACCTTCTTTCTGTAAACAGACCACAGCTGTAGATATGCTGAGGATTTTGAGAAGACAGAGATGGTGATTGGTCCCTAAACTCACTTCAGGCTCATAAATGGGTCATGCCTAGCCTGTTGTCCCTCTGAGACTCTCTGTGAGGACTGCCCACTGGATCTGGCCTGGAAGGGCCAGTTCTTGGTAGGGTGTGAGTGGTGGGGAGCCTGAGACTGGCCAGCCTGGGCTCATGGAGGGCGGAACTCACCCCACCAGCACCTGCTCCTGAGGGAATGGACTGATCCTCAAATCTAGCCTGAAGCTTTCAGTTAAATCCTTTGTCAGATGCCAGCCAGTAAGTGATAGGGCACAGGTGAGGTTCCTGGTGTGCTTTAGCTGTGGCTTGGATTCATTTCCACTTCTAGAGTAACAGAACTCTTCTTCCTTGGTTGGGCCTCATTGGTGGCTACTGCATTCCGAGGGGAGTTCAGGGGCTCAACTGGCAAACATTCTTCCCCTTAAAAGTCTCTTCTGGGTGTCACCAGTTGTGGAGAATCGTTTCAGGCACGTAGTAAGCATCATCTCATTTTCCTTCTCAAAGCAACCAGTGAAGTAGGTATGTCTATACCCTTATTTTCCAGATGAGGAGACTAAGGCTTAAGAATTTAGGCTGATGAATGGTAGTTCTGGGATTACAGGGTCAGATGAGCCTGGCTTTACAATTGCCACTTTTACCCCTATCGTACTATTTTTCTTATCTGTAAAACGAATGGATTAAATGGGATGTGCAGTTGGAAGGAAACCTCTGCATATTTTATTGATGAAGAAACTTTGAATCCAGCCAGGATTCAAAGTGGTGAAGAGGATGCCACAGCCAGGCAAGGTGGCACACGCCTGTAATCCCAGCAGCTTGGGAGGCTGAGGCAGGAGGATCGTGAGTTCAAAGCCAGCCTGAGCAACAGTGAGGTGCTAAGCAACTCAGTGAGACCCTGTCTCTAAATAAAATACAAAATGGACCTGGGATGTGGCTCAGTGGCCAAGTGCCCCTGAGTTCAATCCTTGGTAGCACCCCTAACCCCCCCCCGCAAAAAAGGAGCATGCCAGAGTCCATGTCCTGGCTGCATCCTCTACTTGCTCTGTGGCTTTGGGCAAATAAGTTACTGCCTCCATTTCCTCATCTGTAAAATGGGATGATAGTGTGAGACTTGAATAAAATAACCCTTATAAAGTGCTAAGCACAGTAAAGATGATCTATATTTGCCATTATTGTTGATAATAATAAAAAATTGGAAATAAATTTCCAATAACATCAGTTACATAAATTATATATACATAGGCCCATATGTACATGTTGAAATGTACGTAACTGCATAACTAAAATATACAATTCACTATATGTGTAATACAATTCAATGAATACAATAAATTACTATAAATCATAATTATTTAGAACAAGTAATGTTTAGTGAAAAATAGCCTACACAAAATTGTAGACAGTATGATCCAAAATTTAAATTAGACACACTACCCATCTACACTTACACCAAAACACTATTATCTCCTGGAGAGGAGATTATGGGTCATTTTTACCTCTGGTTTATATTTTCCTGAATTTCTTCAACTTTGGGCAGTAAAATGAGTCACTTTCCAAATGTAAGCAGTGGCCAAAAAAAAAAAAAAAAAAGAGTTTTGTCATGCATGGTGTTTACTTGATTTGTGACCTTTCTTTCCAGGGGAGCATTTAGCTTCTGAGTTTCCTTTCACACACTGCGAGGATGACCTGCCCACTCTCTATCTGCCCACAACATCAAGAGGGCGCCTGCCTCAGCCCTGGCGATGTCCACAAGGGCCTTTCATCCTGGGCATGAAATGGAAATGATCCCCCAGGACCATAGAGTGCTGCAGCCTGGCGCCAGGGAACACTCTGTCAGCTGCCCTTAGCTTGCTTGCTTTTTGAGCTAATTCTTTTCAAGGTGAACTTGATTTTTTTCCCCCTCACTGGATTTTATATTTTAATTCAATTATTCCTGTCTGGTAGCTCTGGCTGTCTTGTTTGGCGAGGCGGGCCTGTGGCTGGCACAGATACCCAACCACATGAGATTTGGGGGATGCCATTCCTTAAACTTCTCTAGCTCACAAAACTTTTCTAGGTTATGCCCCCTCCTCACTTTGGTGTTAAAAACCCTCAAAATACTGTGTCACCATAATATTTCTGTATTTGTTTTGATAAAAGCAAAAATTAAGGTTTTATATTGCCATTTTTAAAAAAAACAACATAAAATAAATTAATTTTTAAAAGTTGAAATACAATGTCCATGTATGATGAGCTGACTTCTCCTGGCTTGGGGCGCATTCCTGGTTCTTGCTGTAACCCAGCAAGTGTGCCCATCCCTCCCTTTGAGATACAAGGGTTTGTACCTACCTAATTATATCCTTAAGGTCTGAAAATTCAGGGCTGTCCATTTCCTTCAGATTTCCCTTGGTGGTTGCTAAAGGAGGAGAAGGCCAATCCTTTCTGTCCTTCAGAGAGAAACATCTGCAAAGAAACTTTCCCTGATAATATTGACGATTCTTATGTAGCAAGTTTTCAATGCATTATTTTGCGAATCATTTAAACATAAGAATGTTTTTGCTTATTATTTTCTCCTTTCTCCATCTTACTAGACTATCTTGCAAGGTAGCTGAAAGCTGAGCTGGTGCCAGGAGGAGAGCAGGGCCATATCAGTCCTGCCAACACAGATCTAATCTGACCTTCTCATGCCAATAGTCAGAAATCTGAGGGCCAGAGAGAGTCAACAGGAGAAGGATACTAGAATTCAGCCCTATCTAAGACTATTCAACCCTTTCTACCCTATGCCCTGTTTAATCCCCAGAGCCTGTGAGATGAGTGTCACCCCCATCTCTCAGAAGAAACCAAGGTTCAGAGAAGTCATTTAGCTTCCCAAAGCAGAGCTGAGACCTGCTTTCCAACCAATCTGACTGAGAAGGATCTCTCCACCCACATTGTGATTCTTGATCTGCTGGGAGGTAAGACATAGGAATTTGTGACTCATAATCATCAAAGTGTTCATGCCTAGAAATAATTAAATTAGAAAGAGTTTCTGTTGCTCACTTTTGTTGTGGTGTGGCTAGGGTGTGTCTCCCCAAAGCTCCTGTTTTAATGCAGGAATATTCAGATTGGATCGTGAGAGCTGCAACCTGGTCAGTCCATCCTAGTTTGAATGGGCTGAGTAGTAACGATAGGCAGGTGGGTCACAACTGGCAGAGACGAGGCACTGGGGGTGTGCCTGGAAGGTCGCATCTTCCCTATGGTCCCTTCCCCTGCCCCACTCTGCTTCCTGACCAAACCAGAGCTTCCCTCTGCTGGGCCCTTCCCCCATGATGTGCTGCCTCACTTGGGCCCAGAGCATTGGCGTTGGTCAGCCTGCAAAACCTCGAACAAACTTTTCTTCCTCTAAGTTGTTCTTGTTGAGTATTTTGGTCACAGTGATGCAAATGCTGACTGAAACACTGCTTTCTTGTGTGGCAATGAAAGGGGGAACATGGGGCTAAGACAGGAATATAGGTGCATCGAGGGATGGATGGAATGGTATTATAAAGAAAGTTCTAGAACATGTCATTAATATAACATTTATGGATCTTCATATTTTACCTTCCTATCTGTTTAAAAACTCTATTCTCCCAGGGGAAAGTCATTTGTCACATGGTTGGAGTTGAATTCATGTTGAGAACTGGCACAGACTACCTTGCTTTTAGGGACTTGGCCCAAAGCTGGTTAGTAATAACTCTAAAATCAGAATTCAGATTTGAATTGTTCCTAGTTGAAAATGGAAACATTGCTACTTTTAAGATCTGGCCTTTTTGTGTTGTCTTAAGGGGGACATTACTTGGGAAGAAGGACTTGACCTCTAAGGCTTTAAGGCCAAGGAAGAAGTCCTTGCTAACTGCTTACAGCAGATGCCTCTCCTCCTCCCTTCCTCCATCCACAGAGCACGTTGAGCCTGAGAAGGTGATCCTTCAGCCTTTGGAGCACGTATGAGTGAGCATCTGCTGTGCACTTCGGGACTGGCTTTGAACCCACTCTGGCGAAAGCTACAGATCCCCAGGGCAGGCAAATGAATATCCTCAGGAACATTTGCATTCATTTTTAGGTTGTTACTGGGCCTGCTGAAATCTCTCCATTTAGGTCATGGGCCCCAAGGGAAGGACCTTTGGCCTAAGTATTAGACCTTGAATCAAACAGTCTCTGTTCTCAAGCCACTCACCACCTCGGTCCTTGCTGCTCAGCCCTTACGCTTCACAGCCCGTTCCGTTTCAGGACTGAGCGAGAGCTACTGAAGCACAGTGTGCTGCTGCCACGGTCCATCCCTGTGCCATCTGCAGGCAGCCCATCTCCTCTCAAGCATTCATGAGAAAGGCTTCATGCTGCTGGGTGCCGTGCTACGGGAGGCACAGAGGCGCATCCCACTTGGCTCTTCCCCCAAGGTGCGCCTTGGCCACTGGGAAGTGTGGACTGTGATACAAAGGTGTCCATCCAAGGCCCTGTGAGTGGCGTGGCTGACGAGGGTCACCAGTGTGTGGAACAAGAGGGCACCTAGCGGGCTCAGGGGGTGCTCAGGTGAAGGGAGATGGAAGTGAGCCTGGCTGCCAGCTGTTGCTTTCTGTGACAGGAACTCAGATGGGGTAATGGGGACTCTGTGCTGTGTAGGTTAGGTACTCAGATAAGGTGGGCAGGTAAATTGTGTCCCTAGGGCCAACCACCAACATGACCAGAAAGAATTGCAGAGTCGAGGGAGGAGGGGATCATGGATAGGAACTTTCGCTCTACCAGTTCCTGCCTGGTGTCCTCAGAACAGTTCCTTAATTTCTCTGAGCCCCCATGTCCCCGTAGGGTTGTTGGAAAAAAATTAGAAATAAGACATAAAATAGCATGCATGTTAGTGCTCAACGGGTGAAGACTTATTAGTTGTAATCCCTGAAAGAAAAAATTAGTTTGGGGCCCAGGCAATGTTAGTGCCTCCAACTTGGTCCACGTCTGTCCGGCATTCTCAGGGAAGGACTCATTCCTTCAAACCCATTTCACTTGACAGTTCTGCAAAGGAGGGAAGAGTGACCTGAGTTGAGCCCTGTCCCTTCACTCGCCAACTTGAGGAAGTTACTTAACACCTGATTTCTCAGGTTCCTCCTCTGTAAAATGGGGATATCATAGCTACGTCATAGGGCTGTTGTGAAAGCTAAATGAGAGGATATATTGCAAAACAAAAACTATCTCAAATCCCATTATTCATGATCCACAGAATGCCTGAGGATGCCACAATGACCTGACCTAAACTATATGGACCAGGGGTGACACCTGAAGACAGCAAATGAGAGCAGATGGAGTGTCCTGTCTTTCCCTGTGCACTTCGGAATAGAACTCTGGAGAGCACATAAAAGAGAAAAAAAAAATGAATGTTTACAAAGAGCCTGTTTGTTTCCTATGCAGCCAGCCCCAAGAAGCTCATAATCGGGGTGGCGCTGGGATGTGACCGCTGGGGCTTCTATACAGGGGAGAGAAATGGAGAGAGGAGACGGGGTGAAGTGGAGATCGAGAGAGGAACCCTGGGTCTCTCTAGCATCTCCGTGGAAGCTCAGCATGTCATAGAACACTAACATTCCAGAGCAAGAAAAGGAAATAAGGAAATGATTAAATAAATTCTTCTTCTTCTTTTTTTAAAGAGGAAATTAGCCTGGTGCCCTGGCACATGCCTGTCATCCCAGTGGGTGGAAGGGTAAGGCAGGAATACCCCAAGTTCAAAGCCAGCCTCAGCAACTTAGTGAGACCCTGTCTCAAAATGAAAAATAAAAAGGGTTGGGGATGTGGCTCAGTGGTTAAGTGCCCTGGGTTAAATTCCCAGTACAAAACTAATAATAAAATAAATAAATAAATAAAATGAGGCAATTGGGGTAGGCCAACTCACAGTATAAAGCAGAGGGACTAGATTAGCATTTAACTCTCTGAGCCCTTAATCTAGCCTGTCCATTTTACCGTTATTTCATGTTTCTGTGTGTGCTGGGGAATCTGTCTAGAGAAAAGAAATCTGAAGAAGAAAATCACTTTTGAGTCCATCACTCAAGTGAGAGGCTCAGGGATCATTGAAAATGTAGCGGATTTTCCAGCCTCGCTCAAATGATGGTAATACTTGATGGACTTTGATGCTTTGATGTCCAGGTAATGCTTTGATGTCCAGGACTTGATCTTCCTGGGTCTTAAGAAAACAGAGCTAGGTAGAGTTTGGAAAAATTGATGTTCGTATGAGCAAAGAATGCTTTGCCACAACTGAAGTTTGCCACTTGGATGTTATTAGTTTTGGGAGATGCTGCCTGGCCTCAGAGCCCAAGTTAAACTTGGACCTGGAGCTATGTCCCAATAGGCCACAAGAGTAAAGTACAGCCTAGATACACACGCTGTGGTAAGAGACATACCAATTACTCATTCAGAAATATGTATAAAGAGCTTACTCTATGCTGGGTTCTTCCTAATGGAGGTAGATGGAGCAAAACCAAGTAACCAAATATATAGTGATGATAAGAACTATAGAGAAAAAGAAGTAGAAAATAACGAGAAGCTCCAGGGATGGGGTTTGGGGATCAGAGCAGGCCTCCCTGGGAAGGGGAGCTATTTACACACTTCATATCTATTCTTTTAAGTTTTTAAGTGTGTGATTGTGTTGTTAACTGTAGACACGATGTTACACAGCGCATCTCTAGGACTCCCTCATTTTGTACAGCAGAAATTTAATATCCATTGCACTCAGTGTGCATTCTTCACCACTCCTGGTCCCTAGAAATCTCCTCCTACTTTCTCTGAGTTGGACAGTTTCAGGGACCTCGTGTAAACAGACTCTTGCAATACTTGTCCTCCTGTGTCGGGTGTTCTTAATTTAGCCCCGTGTCCTCCAGTTTTATCTGGTTGTTGCACGTGACAGCATTCCCTTCTTTCTCTGAGGCTGAATCATATTTAATTTCCTGTGTATATTACGTTTCTTTGTTCATCCATCTGTTGATGAACATGTAGGTTGTTCAGTATCTCTGCTATTGTAAAGAATGCTTGAGTGAACATGGGAGTGCAGGTATCTCTGAAAGATCCTGATTTCAGTTCTTGTGGACATATATGTAGAAGTGAGATCGCTGGGTCAAATGGTAGTTTTTTTTTAAGAAGGCTGTTTTCTATAGCAGTGGTACGATCTTATATTCCCACCAACAGCCCATGAGGGTGCCAATCCCTCCACATCCTCGCCAACACGTGCCCGTAGTGTTTTGATA